GCCGTCAACTGGTCATCCAGTGTCAGCCGTGGATCCAGGAGGACCCCCAAATTGCGAACCCTCTCCGAGGGGGCCAAAGTTTCGCCCCCTATAGTCAGCGATGGAGTCAGCTGACCATACCTGGGAGCCGGCAACCACAACCACTCAGTCTTGGAAGGGTTGAGCCTGAGTCTGTTTCTCCCCATCCAGACCCGTACGGTATAATGTATTAGAAAGGCATCCTCATCTTCTAATGGAAGGACAACGTGCATTTTTAAAAATTATCCTGATTTAATTAAACAGGAAGCTTATGATTCCATTCCTGGTGACAGATGAATGATATAATCTATTAGGCTTGTAAGAGTCGATATTTCTTTCCTCTGATTTGATTAAAAAAAAAAAGTTGAACCTGCAAAATGTACTTAATATACTTTGATATAATATCATTTTTTTTAATTACAACTGCAGGGCCATTATGGTATTAACAGAGTGTGGGCTACATTTGCCCAAGTTTGCTAATCAGTTTTATGCAAAAGTATGCTTCATAAAAGGCAGTGTGTTAATTCCCAAGACCCATATCAAGCTGGAAGTTTCTGTGTTCTGTTCATTTGCTAGTTGGTTCCAGTATAGTAGCTGTTTTGAGCCCTGTGTCTTAAGCAAATCTCTGACCCTCACACTTCAGGATGAATTAAAATGGGTGGAACTGAGGAAACTTTAAGATGAAGAAGAGGTGAGAACAGGAATAGTGATACAAGGCATTTGCAATGTCTATGTAGATCAGGGGTCTTCAAACTTGGCCCTTTGATGACTTGTGGACTTCAACTCCCAGAATTTCTCAGCCAGGCTTCTCAGTCATCTATGTCAAAAATGAACAGCCCTCTCTCAACAGAGGGGAAGGGATATGGCATCATCTATCTCCAGTCTACAACACAGGTCATCATCTATCTCCAGTCTACAACACAGGCCATCATCTATCTCCAGTATACAACACAGTCCTTTCAGCAGCTCCAAGAAGGCTCCACACCCATCATACCCAATTCCAGCAACCGTTCCTTATGTGTTTTAGCCTTCAGTCCCCTAATGATCTTTGTTGCTCTTCTCTGTACTCTTTCTAGAGTCTCAACATCTTTTTTACATCGTGGTGACCAAAACGTGCCTATCCTGGCTTTATTGAATGTGATTTAAATTGAGAGTCAGATTTTAGGAATCCGGCAATGATAAACAAGCTCATCTTTCTCACTCCAGGGTGGTAAAAAGGCAGTTTTAAGGTGTTGTTTTTATTTGATGTAGAGATTATAATAAGAGCAGAAGTAAGTGACCATAGACTTGAGCTTGTAGAGGAGAGTCTGGAAAATGTCAAGAGTGATGTGCTGATTGCTCAATTTCGTGATATGGAGTTTGCAATTCGGATTCGTGGACTGGCTGAGGATCCAAAGGAGAATTTAAGACAAGTAATTGCAGATGCACTTGGGGACGCCTTGTCTTGTGGTCAGGAAATTTATCTGGAAATAGAGCGCGTTTTTAGGGTGAACTCCTGGTTTGCAAGACAAAAAAATTTACCTAGAGATATAGTGATCTACTTTACAAGAAAGTCGAGACGTAATGAAATAATGCAGCTCTTTTACCAACAGAGATTCAAGATCTTAAATCAAGATATTATTCTTTTAAAAGAAATCCCAGCGAAAATACTTAGAGCGCGCAGAGACTATGCTTTTCTGGCACAGGAGCTGAAGAACAGACAAATAAATTTCAGATGGGACATACCGGTGGGCATAATTGTAACATTAGCTGGCAAACGCTACAGACTCAACTCGATCAACAAAGCTAAGGATTTTATGGCGTCTGTTTTACAATCAGAACGCCCACCTACACCCCAGAGGATTGATGTGGCTGAGCAGATGATTG